CCTGAAGGAGGTGAGTGGGGATAGGATCAAGCGGACAGGTAGTAGGATGATTGGAAAGGATAAGTTTAGAAACATCTGCCTCCGAGAGTGGAGAGAAGGAGGAGAGAGAATGAGTATTTGTGGTTATGAAGTTTTTGACAGTTTGTGGTGTGGAAAATTGGTCGCTGATGGTTCTTGTTTTATTTATGAAGAATATTGCATAGTCATCAGCAGTATGAGTTGATGAAGGAGGGGGTGGAGGAGGACAAAGAAGAGAAGAAAAGGTTTTGAAAAGCGTGCGAGAGTCAGAACAGTTGTTAATTTTGTTGTGGTAGTATGTTGTTTTAGCAGTGGAGGCACTTGCAGAGAAGGAGGAGAGGAGTGACTGATATACACTAAGGTCAGTAGAGCTTTTTGATTTGCGCCACTTCCTCTCGGCAGCACTGAGTCTAGAGTGATGTTCCCGGAGCACATCAGACAGCCAGGGGGCAGAGAAGGTGGTGCGTGCTGGTCTGGATGAAAGGGGGCAAAAGTTGTCTAAGCAAGATGTTAGAGTGGAGCAAAGAATGTTTGTGTCCAATGCTGAAAACTGAGAGGGTGGAGGAAGCGAGGATGAAACCATAGAGGATAGGTGAGTGGAAGAGAGCGAACGTAGGTTACGCCGAAAGGTGACCTGCGGAGGAGTGTGCGTTGTGTCCGGAGCTAGTGTGAGGTTAGAAGTGATGAGGAAGTGGTCTGAGGTGTGCAACGGTGTAACTAAAGTGTTGTCCGTTGAGCAGTAGCGTGTGTAGATAAGGTCCAATTGGTTACCTGATTTGTGAGTAGCTGTAGTAGACACGCGCTTGAGGTCAAATGAGGCAAGCAGTGTGTTGAAGTCAGTAGCCTGTGGTTTATCTAGGTGGATGTTGAAGTCACTGAGTAGTACCAGAGGAGTACCGTCCTCAGGGAAGTTTGAGAGTAACACATCCAGCTCATTTAAGAAGTCACCCAGTTGACCTGGGGGACGATAAATAACTACAAAATGGATTTTAAATGGGTGGGTAATAGTAATTGTGTGTGATACAAATGAACAGTTGCCAGTAAGTGATGGTAGACTATCAAATTAACATTCTTTGGAAATAAGTAGACCCATCCCTCCACCCTTCCCAATCGGGTGTGGGGTGTGGGAAAAAGTGAAATTAGTGGAGAGGGCTGCAGGAGTGGCATTGTCCTCAGGTTTGATCCAAGTCTCAGTTAGGGCCATGAGGTTGAGACTTGAATGAGTAGCAATAGATGACGAAGTCTGCTTAGTTTACAGCAGACTGGCAGTTCCAGTTCCTCTCTCTGGTAGGTAAATACATTGAAGCGGAAAGGAAATTCCCATTAGCAATGAATGGCTTTAAGCTAATGTCTTAATGAAGGAGAAAAACTGGAATTACTACATTGAACAAAGACTTACCTCAACTCTGCTAACTGTTATTCTCACTTACATGTTCAGTGATGTAGAAGTAACCAAGTAATCGGCAAAATGTAAGGTAAGTAAGGTATAGTTCATCCCAAAAATGACCATAATGCCATTTTTACTTGTCTTCATGTAGTTGCAAACCTGTATGACTTTATTTCTTTGGAACACAAAATAATAGTTTTTGATAATGATAGTCAATGGGATAGAAAAAGCTTTGGACCCCATTGACTTTTATCTTAATGGACAAAAATAAATAAATAAAATAAAAATATCTTATTTTGTGTTCCACTGCAGAAAGAATACATTAAATGCAAGCAGAAAATTTAAATGAAAAGAATTGCAAATTGAGATGAATAACTGATACAGACACATTGACCGTTTATTTACAAAGCAATTTAATATAAAGTAATTAAATATATATTTGTAAAAAATAATTTCATGTTGACGTGGGACATTGGTAATCTATGTATAAAATAATTGCTCTACCTGATTAAATATAAAACTAAAGATTACAGTTAATAATTATTGTAACCAATATCGTTTCCATTCATTTTTAATATTTCTTAAAAAAAAAAAAAATTCTAGAAAAGGGGGTTTCATTGTACAACCCGGTTTTCCCCGTGTTTACATCGCATGACCAGATACATACTATGCCTTTTATCTTAGAAACTCACCTTATTATCATTATTAGACACTTGCAATTACAGAATAAATTAATAAAGGGTGACAAATAAATGCATAGTGCATAAACAGGGCATTTCATCCATGACATCTGCAAATAAAATCTTTTGCATGATGCAGCATCCATGCTAATAGGTCCAAGTCATATCAGAGACAGAAATAAAATTACTTGGTGCTCCATTTTGAAACGTACGCAGATAATCTATGCAAAACTAACCGAATACCAGCTCTTCTCCTGACTTTTTCTATTTGTAGCGTTATTATGGGCATTTAAAATGACCCAATTCTTAAAAAATGTAAAAATGTATTTTATTACAGTGCAAGATAACAAGAGTGCAAGTATTAAAAACAACACAATGCATGATGTACATGCATTAAATAATATAATTTAGGTCTATAAAAAGCTTTTTGGTTAAATTCTAAAAATACAGCAAAATACACTTGAAAAAGTGTCACTTTTTTAAAATGAAAACACTAATGTACTCCATTGAGGAAATGTAATGTTTGACTTCAAGCTGATCGTTTCTCCACACCCTGTTTAATGCCTAGCACCAAGTGTAGGAACCAGTTGAACTGCACCGTCCAACCCTTGTCCCGGCAGATCTCGATTTGGTCCAAGAAGTGTTGTTTGGCCTCGTCCTCCGAGCGTCCGACCGTCAGAGCTTCCCGTATGTACTCGATGTCCTCCTTGCTGGTCAGCTGAGGCATGCCGGTCATCAGCATCATGGAGAACAGGATGATCAGCAGGTTGGTGTGGTGTCTCAGAGCCAGGTAGGCCTTCAGGCAAATGCTCTGCGATTATGAGGGAGATTACGTTTAGTCACAGCAGAGGAGTCTGTTGCTAACAGGTGATATTGTATGAACGTACCTGAAACTGGAGGAAATGAGTGCTGCTTTTTTTGCCCGTTGTGCTCATCACATAGAGAAAATCAGGAGTCAGCACAAAAGGAACTCGCTCCTTGCTGATCCCCATGAAACTCTTGTAGTTTCCAAGTATGTGACCGAAATCAATGTGGAATAGGTTACCTAGTTGAAAACACATGCATTTTGTTATTGTTCCTTGAACTGGTTAACTAATGAAACATTCAGGTTTCAATACAAGTTGAGCTCAAACACAGCATTTGCATAAAAAATTCATACAATTTTATAAAGTGGATATCAAGGGTGCACAATGCAAGCAAAGAGGGCCAATTTTTGCAGGTTGTAAAGTTTTGAGTTTATAAATGACAAAAGCACTTAGACAATTCGTCTGTTAAAACTTGTGTATTATTTGAGCTGTAAAGCTTTTTAAATCAGCATTTGTACAGTCGTTTGGGGATTTTAGGGTTTATAGCATTAAAAGGTATAAAACTGGTTATAAGAAAAAGTTAGTTTGTTTGTTTATTTATAAAATTTTAAGTTAGTAAATACTTTTTTTCCTCACCAAAACCATATTAACATGTCTTGCGGCTATATATATATATATATATATATATATATATATATATATATATATATATATATATATGGGAGACATACTCTAAAAATACA